GCGTCTCCTGGCACCCCGACTGCCGGTGCTGGGCTGGATGTTCAAAGGGAAGGTCCCCTCTACACATTATGCAACCGATGCTACGTGGGGTAAGTGGGTCGCACTGATCACACAACGGGCCCGAATAGGAAACCCCAGTCGCCCAGGAATCTTGGAGGTGATCACGAACAGGCCAGAAGGCAAAGATTTCGGAATATTGCCAGAGGAGGAGGTGATGAGTGCTGAAGAGGCCCCATGTTGGGTGCCAAAAAGGGCTGTTGTGGTTTAACCCCAGCCGGCAAGTAAGACCACACGGCTGCTCGCTCACTCCCCCCCAGTGGGATGGGGGAGAGGTCGGAAGTGTAAAAGTGAGACAACTCGTGAGTTGAGATGAAGACAGTTTAATAGGAAAAGCAAAAGCCACGCACGCAAGCAAAACAAAAGAAGGAATTCGTTCCCTACTTCCCATCAGCAGGCAGGTGTTCAGCCATCTCCAGGAAAGCAGGGCTCCGTCACATGTGACGGTTACTTGGGAAGACAAATGTAATCATTCCAAACGTGCCCTGCTTCCTTCTTCTTTATATGCTGAGCATGATGCCATACGGTATGGAATACCCCTTTGGTCAGTTGGGGTCAGCTGTCCCAGCCATGTCCCCTCCCAACGCCTTGTGCCCCCCCAGCCTCCTCGCTGGAGAAGCAGAAAAGGCCTTGGCTGTGTGTAAGCACTGCTCAGCGGTAACTAAAACATCCCTGTGTTATCAACACTGTTTTCAGCACAAATCCAAAACGTAACCCCATACTAGCTACTGTGAAGAAAATTAACTCTATCCCAGCCAAAACCAGCACACCCATCCAGTTTTGCAAACTCGTTTTTCACACATTTATTATATTCCCAAGTTTTCTGAGTTTTCTCCAGCATTCCTTGAATCATGGTTAATATCCTCTAACCCCCACAAAAGCTCGTTACCTCATCATTAAGCCTGCTGATCTGCTGTTTGGTCTCTTCTGCTTTGATAACAAGCACAGCAGCACCAATTTCAGCCTCTGAAAATAATTCAAATGCTTGTAAATGAGAGAAGTATAATAACTTGGAAACAGCAATGCTATTCTTGCACTAATCCAACGCTTTAAATTTAAATCTAGTTTGCACTTGGATCGAATGAAAATAAAATCTTCTGTTTAATATTCAGTGTATAATGTGTAAGAAAAGTGCGACAAATAAAGTTCATACTGCTGTCTTTAGTCTGAACCTGAAAGGACTGAAAATGACAACCCTGGTGCCAACCGTGTGACACGTCAACTGTTTTTAAAAGTCAGAGATACAATTAAGCTTCTATTATTACTTTTCTGTTTGGCTTCAAAAGGAACAAAAAGTGTCCTAATAGCCTCTATGCAAAAGGTACATAGCTATGTGAGGACTGTTTACTCGTAAAAGAGGGGATGTTGGAAACAGTCTGAGCTGCACTAGTTGAGTCACTTCAGCATTAGTCCACTGGTCTCCCCCTCTGTCTCTTTCTTTTTTTTTTTTTTTTTTTTTTTTTCCTATGTTGACGTGCTCTATTCCTCTGTGATGCTATTTTACCAACCTTTTCAGGCTGTGGGTCATTTAAGGCTTCTAAAACCTCTTGCTATTCAAGGTTTTCACTCTCTTACTTCTAAAAATCTAGGTACTTCCGTACTCTTCCACTTCCGTAAATATCTTTAACAAAAATTCAGAGCGAAGTTTGCATATGGCTCTTTATGATTTTTTTTTTTTTTTTTTTTAATTTGGTATTAGAATGTTTTTATGTTGAATTTTGTCCTTGTGTTTAGTACCTTCCATGCCCAAAGGTTTGGGAGCATGAGGCTCCTGGCTGATCCTGCAATACTGCTGGTAAAATATAGTGCATGAAAATACAGTACTCCTTGCAAGCTGTTTCATCATGACTGACTGTTAGCAGGAAAACAACAAATGGCCTTTGGGGACCCTGTTGTATTCTTCTACAGTTACAATTCTGGTACTCAAATGGTACTGGAGGTAGAGATATATGTTAAATCCATTTATGCCACTTCTGAGAATCGAAGAAACAAAGGGGGAACAAAAAGCAGTTATGAAAACTGTTTTCTCTAAAGAGTGATTTTCCCAGGCAAAACTCACCTCCAATTGTAGGAGATAACCTGGACTCCTGCCTGAGCTGATCAGAACTGAAGTCAAAGGTTTGGCTTTCCTCATTATGGTTTCCATCTTCAATCCCATCAACAATTCTGTTGAGAAAAATCGGAGTGATGGAGCAGTTTCATAAACATCACACTCATAATTATGTTGTCAAAATTACTCCTAAAGGGCACATTTTTAAGCAATGGTAAATTTTGCACAACATTAAGTTTAGAGAAAAGTAAAACCTATTATATTGGCATAACTTCTTGTGAGTCACTGAAGATTAAACCTGCTGTTAGAGGAAGGAATGTGAGGCCAAGCATAATTAATTGAAGTTTCAAAATTTTCATGACTCCTGCAATGTATTCTGGGTCCTAACAAAACCTGTACTGCATATAGTTTGCTTTTCATATCTGAAGTAATCTGTTGCCATTCTTTCTTCTACACAAACAAAAGATGCTTCACTATGCTCTTGTGAAGTTTAAATCTCCCTGCACATAACAGTCAGGCTCTTATATTAGGCTAACTTAGGCAGAGCCTAAGTCTGAACATAATATATTTATGAAAGCATCTCTGTAAACCACAGTCAAAAGTGTTCTTGCCATGCAAATAGCTATTCTCAAATTTGGTTGAATTAGCTCAGGCAGAGCAATCTTGTTTGCAAATTGGGTATAGGAAGATGTGTAGACCAGCCTGCAATGTCCCAGTTACATTAGTATTGGTATTGGATCTAACTACTAGAAAAGGCATTTTTGTCAGTTATTTCTACTCATGCATTGCAGTTGACCTCCAATTTGCAATGTCAAGAAATCCAAAGAAAAAAAAATGAAGCATTTTATACAATAATCAAGTGCTGCATACAAAGAATAGACACTGGTATCAGATGGGAGGAATCAATACACATTATTAAAAATATATAATTATGAATATTTTTTTTCTCATTTATAATAAATTGTGCTATAAAGAGAACTGTTTTAAAGTCAATGAAAGTGACTCAGAAAGCTGCCAATTGACAGACGTGGAGCATCAATTGCTTGTTTTGTCCAGGCACCAGATTCAGAATTCGTCTTACAGTAGGCAGATGAGTTAAATACTAATCTGGAAAGGCTAAAGCAGACAGTTCTTGGCTTCTCAATCAACGATGATAACTTTGTGATGATGGAAATCAGACTTTACATCTAATAAGGAGATTCTCAAGCAAACCTCTTGACTGGAAATGTTTGGAGAGAGGAAGAACAGACAACACAGATATCTATGATGTATTTGGCTTGAAAGACCCAGGTAACTTAGAGCTCTGTGCACATACCATATATTCTTGTCCTTCTTGGCTCTTCATGTGGGTTTAGGGCTCTGTGTCATGTCTGAGTGGTCATGATGCCAGCTGGATGTTATTAGACTTCACTCTAATCTTAACCAGCTTCTGGAGGAGATGAGACTCAAATGTGGTGCTTCAGCTGCTCTGGCCTATGCTGTTATCTGAAGCTGAAAACCTGAATGATTACTTTGTTTGAAATTTGCTATAAAACCTATTTAATGTCATCTGGTCTCACTGCTTCAAAAAGCAAATTTTAAACACCAATATCCCTTTTGTAGAGATTTCTAATTATATAAAATGCTAACATTTTAACTGCCTTTTAAGCACACAGGGGAAAACCTACTCGGACGTGACTTGGAATTTATAGACGCTATATTCTTTAAAGTGTTTAAAGATTCAGACTAAAAAGAAACCATATTAGCAAAAATAGCTAGTTCTGGAGAGCCAAAAGACAGGCTTCTATGTGGGAAATACATAATGGGCAAGATGCTTATTCATATGCAAGGAACTGGCTGTGAAGCAACATAATCTGGCGAGTTGAAAACATGAGGGGACAAAAATAATTGGTAAGTCTCACCCCTTTCTGAATTAGCTATTGTACAGCTCTGAATTTTCTTCTGAAGACAGACACCTCCACTCCTAGAAGCCAAAAGGTCAGAAGAGATTAACATGTGACCTCTTTTATCCAGCTGATCAGGGCCAGAGTACACTCGTCCATGTGGGTCTGAGGAGATTCAAATGCATAAATGCCACCTCCCTTTATTATCACTTACACTTTCTTCCTTTTGATGCTCTTCTACTTCATAGGTAGTACCCAAAAAGTGATTGGGAAGACTGTGACTGTATCCTAGAAGTTAGGATGCTGGCTTCTATTCATTACAGCAAGAACTTTTTAAGTATTTTACCCAGTCTCTGTGCTTTATTGCATTCACTGTGGTGTACAAGGAAAGAACCTGAAGCACCGGTGAAGAGTTCTGGTTGGCCTGCTCTAGGGAACATCCACAGCAGAATAAGTTTCTTAAGCAGACAAAGTATATTCTTTTGACAAAGTAAGGTTATACACCTCACAACTGCACTGATTGGACATTTGAATCAGAGTCTTGCTGTCCAACAGCAAACAAAAGCGAGGATCTTAATTAAGGTCTTATTTTCTCTTTAATACTTACTAAGAAACATTTAAGGCTCTTTTTAAAGTGGTTTTGGCTTGTCAGTTTAAATGTTCTGATAATATGAACTCATTTTGGGAAATAATATAAAGTGTTTTGGCTGGAAAAGAAAGCCTGAAAAACACATACATCTTGGGCCAGTTCTCCAGGCTATTAAAGGATTATTCTGCAGTTATAAAATTATGAATGGAAATAGGAAATAATAATATATGTAACAATACTTGTTTCACATTTGCTCTTGCAGCCTTGTGTGCCAATGTCTGGCTGCATATGTTCAGAACAATAATGAACAAGATTACATTTCAGCAGAAAATATGAAAGGTAGCTTTTCCCTGAATTACCACTTCTTATGCAAATGATAATGACCTTTATTCATAGCTGACCTGAACCAAATTCATATGAGATCTATGAAAGTAATGAGAAAATATCCGCTATGCATTTCAATTTTGCTAGTGTAGAACCTGGTTTTCCACACATTTTTTTCCCCTATATCAACAAAACTAAAATCAGTTTGTATCCTGCCCCTATTTGAAATGTAGCTGTAATGATCATCTACACGATGAGAGGGAAAGATTTCTATATGTCCGTGTCCTTTTTATGATTGCATCCTTAGGGACAGGTGCCTTGACAGAGCTAAACAAATATTGGTCAAGCTGTGGCTATTTCATGTTTGCAATGGCAAGTTGCTGAAACTACCACTCTGCCTCGAGTGAATAAAGGAAGTTCTCAAATGTGTAAGATACTTCAAATTATAGAAACCAAAACTTGAACTGGAAGATCAACTGCTGCAGCTCCTCATATATGAAAAAGTGATTGTGATTTCTGTAAAGAACTGATCCCAAAATTTTTGATTAATAGTTAATTATTATGTTGCAGCAATTTAGAAATAAGATACATAAATCACCTTACAAGAAATGTACAAATAAAAATTAAAATATTTTAAATTATACACTAATAATACCACAGTAAACTATTATATGACTCTTGTTTATGTTAAAAGTCACAGCAAAACAGATTTTCTCAACTCCATATTTACTCTCTACATAACTTGCATTATCAGGTTTCTCTTCTCTAATGTAAGAAACCTCTAAATATTTTCTAAAATTGTAGGCAATTCCATTATAGTTCTATACTCCAGTAATTTTTGTATTTGCACAACTATCCTGTATTATCACCTCCTTGCTTTCCAAATTGCTATCTCTCTGATGGACTCGGAATGTTTCACAGTGCTATTGTGGGAATGCATATTATTAGAGATGGACAAAATGATATCATAAAGCCAGACTATTCAAATAGTCATTTTTGTAATTGCTCAATACTTTCCCTTTTTGCTGGTAGAAATACTTAATTTCTCAATAATGTCCTGAAGTCATAACAGTTCTGCATAGTGTGTAACAGTTCCTCCAATACGAGAACTTTTCCTTCTCTGTGGGATGAACAAAAGTATCAACTATTAAAAAAAAAAAGAAATATTTTATAGAGTTACAATCATGATATTTTTAATAGGAGTTACATGATAGAGAAGAAAATAACCACTCATAACTATTACCTTGGGCTCAGGTCAGGTGGACCACTGGTGGTCAATGCCGAAAGATGTAACTTAAGGTTTTTCTCCTTCCTTCTGGAGTAGTAATGGAGCTCCGTTTCATGTTTGGTTCTTGAGGGGTTTGAACTGCAAGCACGGATGGGTGAATGAAAGGGCACCGTTCCTGAGGCTAATTGCTTCAAGTTTCTCCCTAGGTGGCTTTTATTGCTTCCAGCCTTCCTCTGCTGAGAACAATTTGTGCTTCTTGTATGGATTGGTGAAAGGGTGCTGCTCTCTTCTTCTCCCTCCTCATCCTCATCTTCATCTTCCACAATTGAAGGGAGTCTCCTCTTTATATTTCCGTTTCCCTTGAGCTCTGTCTAAAATAGCAGACAATACATACTACTGTAAAATTCAGAGCCTGATGTTGCAGAAACACAATTTCTTCTGGTGTTCATACTGGAACAAACCCAGATCTAGCACAGCTTTCATTTCTCATTAAAGATGGCTCTTTTGGAACTCCTCCATAGCGTCCCTCTTCAACTATATTATATGTGCATACATGAGAAAAATACAAATTAAAAAAGGTCACTAGCAACATAGCCAGTGAACTCACTGCAATATTTTGTTACCGAGAAAGATTACTTGACTAGTTCTTGCAAGCCACATGCCATATGTACACTTGAATAGATTAATCTTGCTTTACTGAGGCAGTATTTCTTTTGAATGTTACACACTCAGACTCCTGGTGGAGCAAGGGAAAGAACTGAGGCTGGTAATTCATATAATACCACATTTTCATATGGAACCAGTTCAGCTCAAGCCCGAATGTCCTCTGTATCCTTCTTAGTTGTTGTAACTGAAACCACTGCTGGGATAGTAGGCAGATTTTTCAGTTTATGCAAAGTCCCGTTAATGCATCAGTGGTATTACAGTGTCAACTTCAGAACTGAGTCAATGAAAAGCAGAGCTACATCTGGTTTTAAAAAAAACACAATTTGAATGCTCAATGTTGGAACCAAGGCAATTTAGAGGCAACATAGACCTGGGTTCTGTACTTTATGTACTAATTAAAACACAGTGTAAGAGAGCAATGTATTGTTTGTTATTGTTTCATGGTGACAAAATACACTGGTTAAGAGCGCTGAGACATGCCAAGATAGAGCTCATGTCAGGATCAGGCCCTAACTCAAAAATAGTTCCATTTATTCCCATGGTACAACTTACTGTATTTATTGGTAGTAGGTGAATGGACTAAGGCAGAATCAGGTTCCAGGTCAAATTAACAAACTCCACACATCTCAGTGAAGAGTACAGCCAAATGCAACTTCATGATTTCAGAAAAGGTTGCTATTCATTTTTTTTCAGGCTAGTCCTCTTAATCAAGCTTGATTAAGGCACTGTTAACTTTAGATAGAAAAGCTCAGATGAGCTTGTATAGTCAAATTTCCCATATTCAGGCCAAGTAAGATTGGCTGGGTGAAAATGCAGATTTGGGGAATTTATCCAAGTGTTCTAAGCCCCTATTAGTATCTGTCTAAATGTTTTGCAACATGGGTTTAATTTTGCTGTGTGCTACAGTACACTTCGATTGAGTCAATGTTTTTCTCTTAGCATACAGTGACAGATTTAGTGAACTAGGTCCTTTCCATCTGAGATGTATGAAAAGGTAAGAATTTAAAACAGTGGCAAAAGACCTGTCTATATAAAATGTAATAACCTTGTCATCAACCGTAATAGTCATCTGAAGGCTGTCATAATGATCAAATTGTACAGGACCTGGCACAGCCTATACTCTATAGAGAATAAGCGATACCCATATTGAAAACTGTGGCTTAGGTAACCATGTATTTAAAATGCAGGTGCTGTAGTAGGATATCCAAATCCAGCACCTGGAAGAAAAGATCATAGGCTGCTACTCATAAAATGGACAGTGGCAGAACTATCTGCAGAATGCTATTTAAAGTCTCATTCTGAAACCACGGAAGTCAGCTGGAGTTTTTTCAGCTTTGCTGTGGCCATAACTCTATGCGTGTTTCAAAGTCAAGCTTGGCATATTTAAAATGTGACTAACATACCTGAGATAGCGTAGACTTGTTTGATAATTTTGATATTACCTGAAAAAACAAAACAAAAAAGTAGCAAATATATGCATCTGCACAGTATTGGCTTCCAAGAGCATACAAACATTTAAACCAAAACATTTATATTGATACAATAAAAAAAATCTCATGATAAAACAGCTGTATTAAATTAAATGCTGACTATTAAATTAAATAGCACTGAAATAAGGACACTCCCTGGAAACAGATGCTGTGAGAAAAACCAAAAAGAATTGTTTTCTTTTTATTAAAAAGATAGTTCCTGCAAAAATAACATTTTACTTTAATAAAAATTTGGGTTAAGGCTCCAAATCTGTGAATGAATGTTGATGGGTGAATGTATGCCTGGTGGGTTTCAGTGCTGGTTTGATGGAATCCCATGCAGGAACATGCTCTGCTTTGGCCCTACCTCTTTGTAGTTTTAGCTCCTGTGCCAGCCTAGTCCTTACATGTAGATGATCTAACTAACTGTAGCATCTTTAGGGAATTTTCAAAGGCAGTGATGGGACTGAAGCAAGTAGGACCAATATAATCCTGAGGGAGATACGTGCCTAACAGCTATTCAAGGCCGTGACATTTTCCCTTCTTGGATTAAACAGAAAGCAAAACAAAAGAAAAGAAGAAAAAATCATGCAAGTTTAATGTGTAACTACTTCTAATAAAATCCACTGGAACTGCTGAATAATATTTGTTATGAACATTCTGTTGTTTATTTGAATGTCTACACCTTGACCACAGGCAATTTTCTGACAGCCTACATGCTGTATTTATATGAAAATTTTAGTCTTCCAGGTAGAATTTTCAGAAGTGATTTTCAGCTTTCCTAAACCTACATATCAAGATAAAAAGTGCTTAGCACCCATCAATTTAAAATATGTAGCATCAGTTTATTTTTCTCCAAACTGAGGTAGAAGAAGTTAAGCCTTTCTGGAAGTCATTTGGACTTCCCAGTTTGTTTGATAAAAGTCTTCAGAACTCCTAAATACACAAATTTTAGGCACAGATTTGGAAAAAATAATTGTGGTTGGGTTTTTTTTTTCCTTTTTTTTTTCTTCTTCACAAGTCTTTCAGGTTAACCTGAAAACTGTTTTGTAATTGCTCATAAAGTGAGAGTACTAGTAGTGGTATAACATACAAATACACATTATTTAAATTTGTGTAAGCAGAAATTCTACTCCACAACAGCCAAGCCATTAGGAGGCGTATCAGTAAATTTAGAATAACACTCTAATAACTGCCAAACAGAACAACTGCAATAATTAGGCTGTGTGAATAAAATAACTGCTGTGTTCTTCCTGAGTTAGATACAGTACTAGATGATGTTAGTAGAGGACGAGATCTCAGATACTGAAATCTCCCAACTCGCACTGTAATCTATGCCAATTGAAGAAACACCATCTCCTTCAAGATTCAGGAGAACAAGAAACTGGAAATATACTAAAATATTAAAGTCAGAATTAGGAATAATAGAATAGAATAATAGAATAATTGAGTCAGAATGGCTCACTTTGCACATATGTTTAAGAAGATTAATTTACAATAGTGCCCAGGGCATCAGTTTGTTTGGCTTCTAGGCACAGGTGCAGTATGAACATTAAAGATCTTAGAACGTATGAGTTTGCCTGCTGAAGGCTTTAGAAGTGACTTGTCATTTGTAGTTTGTAATGTGGGTAAGGATTTCTCCTCGCTTTTTTTCCTCACTGCAGAGGAAATGGGGGTAGTGGCAGCATTCTTTTGCCTTATGACCTTACCAACAGCAAGGTAAAGGGATTTTTTGAAGGCAGGTTGTTTTTTGCAGGGAGGGGAAGGAGAGTCTTTGGAAGGAAGGGTAGCTGAAAAGAAGGATAGATATGAAGAGGGAGCAGGTGATGTGGGAAACTACTTATCAGACTTTCTTCTTTCATTTCCCCAAACTGACCCCCTTTAACCCACCAGGGACGGTTTCAGTCTGGATAAATTGATACTTTTAGATAAACTCTAGACCTATAAACTATTTTTTCCGTAGCACAGAAATCACAGTAAAGAGTGTTGTAATTGCTTCTCTATTAATACACTGCAGCCATGTTTATTGCTTGTAACTTTGAACACCGTACCTTGCACACATAAAACAGGGGCCTGGACTTTATGGCATGGTAGTTGAAAGTTGGTAAAAGAAACTATAATTAATCTGTGACCAGAGAGAATTCTCAAGCGTTTGGCTTTTAAACCTCCTCCAGCAACTCCCTTCTTCTCTCCCTGCAAAAATACCATTCTCAAAGAGAAAAAGGAAAGATCAACACAAGAACAAGGACAAAGCCGGTCAAAGAACAGTAAATTTAAAGACCTCACCATGCACATAGCTTTATCTTTGTAAAAATGTATTATTAGAATAAATAATTATGAGGTGCTGTCCTAGTTTCTGATCTGCTAAAACCTTTTATTTAGGGCAACACACTGATGTAGCCTTCTATAAAATGCTTTTTTTCTCATGAAAAAAAGAAAAGAGGATGAAAATAGCTCACATTTTAGTCTTTTAAAATGAAGTACAACTCTTAAAGGATAAAGGCTGCTGAAAGAAAAACACGGTATTTTCCCTGCTATGTATTAGGAAAAAAAAAAAAAACAAAAAAAGACTGATGTTAGCATGAGTTGTGTGAAATACTGTCAAAGGGTCTAATTCAATTTTTAATTTCAGCCCTGGTGTCTCTTTATGTCTTGTGAAATCAGCTATTAAATTTAATTTCACAAGATAAAACAATACTAGATCATATACCAAAAGCAGACTCATATAAAATTCTTCCATGTATGTAATCTCAAATCTATAACCTTGTAATTGTTTAATATATTAATATATAGAACTTAAAAATGTAGTAATCTTTATCATTGCTTATTATAAGCACAAAAAGAACATTTCCCCATCTAAAAATACTGGTGGTTTGCTGTTGAAAGCCAGTGATCTGAAGATTTTTCCCGGGTGAAGATACAGTAGTCTTTAATAGATGAATCTCTACCAGGAACTGCGGCCAAACCAGGTAATTAGCTGTACAATAATTCAAGATTAAGTCCAGTTATAAAACCCTAAGAAGAGAAATATAGAGATGCAGCTAAATTTGGGATTAATACATTAAATGTCCGGCTAAATAAATTTACATTTTTGGGCTCAGAAGAATGTTATCAGCTTTTACTGGCCTGATTCCTGTTGCCTTCATGAGAAGTAGGAACAAAAATAGAAAACAAAATTTCACTGATTTGCTTGTAACTCTTTGGTCCTAAAATATATGAATAATTCTTTGTATCTGAGGAGTCAAAAGGATAAAATACACTTTCAGGAAAAGATTTGAAATCAAACTAGAATTTTAATGTTCTTAGTCAGCATTTGGAAACAGGAAAAACACATTTAGGAACATTGGCAGTGTGGGGGAAAAAAAACAAGAACGCATGCCGTATGTTCTATTCTTTGCAAATTTACTGTATGGTAATGGAAAAGATACAAATACATAACAAGGGATTATTGTACCGCTGAAAAGCTTAATGCCTCACATGTGTTCAGGCCTCAGTTTTCCGTAATCAGGAAATTTTTCAATGAAATATCACAAATCCTTTAAATCACAAAGGAGTCAATCACTTGCAAAGAGTTTCTCAGGTTAGATATAATTGTTTTATGTCTACATTTACTAAGCAATTTACCCCTTCTTTTTCTTTTTTTTTTTTCTTTTGAAGACTTTCTATAGTTCATTGGCTTGTTCCTATATTTTCTTAGGTTTATTCTTATCTCTTTTCCTTACTTAATGGAGATATAAAGAAAATGTGTTTTGTGGAAGTAGATGCTTTCAGCATTCTCTGATTCTACTTACAGTGTAGACTATATTGAATTAGCAGCAAAAGTTGAACAGCAGACCTGTCACCAGTATTTTATCCTAGGTGACCAATAACTGTGAACTGCCATGAGCTCTGCAATTTTTTTTTAAGTCATTATCCCACATCATTCCTATCTTTTGAATAAATTATTGTAGCCTGTGAAGTTAGGACAAGTGTTTAATAACTGGCTGGTTGTGGGTAGCTTTGGATAAGTTTTTTGTGAATTAATACTTCATTGGATTCAAATTTCTCACATGAGCTTTTATATTTAGTATTAAAAGCTTATTTTTCATGTATTTCTTTAAAACCTGGATGTTAAGTTCACTGCATTCATTAGCAAAAATTTTTAATTATACTTTGATTGTTTTATTAACAATACAGGATCTATGGCATTTCATGTTAAAAAGATAAATCATGTCACAGAAGCTCTCACTAACCTCTCTGTCACTTGCTCCAAATCAAGAATCAAATAAATGATAAATATGGCTGGTATAATTTGCCATTTTTACTTCTATATTCTTACTTTCCTCTTCTCCACTCCAAAATAGGAGAAAAAAATAGTGTCCCAAATTGCTCTGAACATATATGTTTCATAGCAAACCTGTGCCAATAAAAATAAAAAAAAAAATTAAGGAATTGACTGTCAATAAGGTCAGAAGAAGACAAAAGGATCAATTGTTAAAATAGGCAATAGACCTGGCACTGATTGTACATTGCTCTGGCAGGTTGCGTTTTTGGAAAAGCTTGCAGGTTACTGTAGACAAAAGATATACTTCTTAATATTCCTACAGTTTGATTACAGTCATGTAATTATGTAATATTAATAGAAATTACCATGAATGCTAACAACTTGCAAAGCAATAAAACTCAAAATTCTTCCCCTTACTGACAATACTTAGGTATATTCTTAACTTCATGCAACTCTGAGATTTCACACAGGCTTGTAAATATTTGTAGGACTGGCCTTGTGGATTGATATCCAATTAGACTCCTCAACTCAAGGATGTTTATGCTGTGGAAGAGTTACTTTTATGTTTATATTGTTAGCTTTATCTTTAAATGAAACTTCATACTACTTTTTATGTAAATATGTGTATCTAACTTCAGAGAGGCTCTTGAAAAGAAAAGAAAGACAATGAAGTGGATCTCGAAAAAGAATTTTATTACCTGTCAGTTGC